GTTTAGGGTTTATAGGGTTTAGGGAACTAGCTTCGGCTTGTTCCTTCTTGGGATCTAGGGGTTCCTTTACACGGTTCCTTAAAGGGTTCTGTAAGGGCTACTATAAGGGTTTAGGGTATAGGGGCCTTAACAATTAGAATAGGGTTTTGGGGTACATTACACTATAACTGTAACTATAATAAGGAACCCCCGAATACATGTATAGAGTCACGGGTACAAGGTGTGCCGGATGCCAGATCGCTGCCGTGGCCACGAGACAAATCGTGAGAGACTTCTTGAGATACGGACCGCTCTCAATAGGGTTTAGGGAAGCCCATGTGCAACTTGACAGGGATATCCCATTCTGGGCATTGAAAAAGTGACCATCACGCGAAGCCAACATATCGAACCCGATCGTGTTTAAAGTTTGGGCATGCCACTTGCGGTTGATAGTTGCAGGCTTCAGGTTCTGCTAACCGGAACTTCCCGAGGGCCTGCAAGACTACTTCCCTCGAGGCCATTGAACCCAAACACTCCGAACCTTCACCCCTCCCTAGCACCCGAAAAGAACGCACATAGATGCCAAACTAGTTGTGATTTCTGCGTCAGGATTACTGCAACTCTTTAACCCTGCAACCAAAACACGAAACCATAAACAGCTGCCATTCCGACCTAAAAACATGAAGGCCCTCACGGTGGGCATTTCAGCACCCTACTCCATAAACCCATGGACCCATCAACCCATAAATCCTTCGACAGTACCTAAACCCTAAACCCTACGCCCTAAACCATACACCCGTAAACCCATAAATCCTTGCTCAGTACGGGCACCTTCCTGACTTCCTCGACTGTGGAGTACTTGATGTCAACCTCGAGGGGGCGAAAGCACAAGGGGCTGTGTTTCCAAGCCTGTGGTTTAGGGTTTAGGGTTTAGGGTTTAGGGGTTTAGGGTTTAGGGTTTAGGGTTTGGGGTTTAGGGTTTAGGGGTTTTCAGAGTTTAGGGTTTAGGGTTTAGGATTCAGGGCTTAGGGCTTCGGCTTGGGGTTCAGACGGGTTCAGGGTTCCGGGCTTTCTTCAAAGTTTCATGTCAAGCTGCCTTTGAAATGGTTGTAGGGTTTGGGGTTTAGAGGTTACCCCAAACCCTAAACCCTAAACCCTTATTATACATAGGTTGCAAGGCTTCGGAGCCCCAGGATAGAAATCGCATTCCTGCTAAAATGCTACTCCTTGATCGGAGAACGGTACGAAAGGCTAGAGCGCTTCCCCATACTGCTGTGTGTAAGACACCCATGCGCCATGCCGCCTGTGAAACCCTAAACCCTAAACCCTTCTGTCTTACATCCAAAGTGTGTTGAGGAATTTGGGGCTGTTCAACATTACGTCACTTTCTCGTGGGCTGCGTTCTACCGTAAAGGCCAATGAAAAGAAATACATGGCAACCCGAAACTCCAAAAAGTGAAACTTCTGTTATGTTGGGATAGTGTAAGGGATCTATAAGGGCAGGCTGCGGCGAAGCAGGGGCTGTTGCAAGGCGGAATACAAAGCCAACTTGCCCGTAAGCAGTGAATTCGGAAACTCGTGTTGCTGCTGTGGCTAGTCCTGAAACGCTGTCCTGCTGAAGCCATTACCATAGAGAAAAAACTCAGAACAGACGGGTATGATGCGAATGCCAAAGTGAAGCCTAAACTTCCTAAACCCTGCGACTCACAGGTTTAGAACCCCCCAAACCCCAGAGGCACCTTGTTCTTTGCCGCAAGCTTCATCAGAAGCTCCGGTTCCAAGGTCCCCTCCAAGTGCAGGTGCAATTCGACCTGCACCAAAACCTAAACCCTAAACCCTGAACCCTAACCCCCCCATTCCTCCCTCTGCCGCTTACTACATGTTTTTGAAAGGGATCAACATCAAACCCCCAGACCTTAAGGCCCTAAACCCTAAACCGCAAACCTTAAAGCCCGAAACCCAAAACCCTTGACCCCCCAAACCTGAAGGCCCTAAGCCCGAAACCCCCCAAACCTTAAGGCCTTCAGCCCTAAACCCCGAAAGAACAAGGCCTTACAGGACTGCAAGTAGCTTGCTGCATCGGCTCTTGCACCAGTTCGGCGCGAGGTTCAGGGCTCAGGTTCAGAAGCCAAGGTTTAGGGCTCCAAGAAGTTACAGTTTTGGGTTTAGGGTTTTGGGGTTTTGTTTTTGTTGGGTGGAGTGGGTGGAGGGGGGTGGGGTAGGGATTTCATGTCTTTGGGCTTAGGGACATGCTTCATGCTGGATTTTCAGCGGTGCGGGTGTGGATTCCGATGTTTTGGGTTTTGGCCTTCAGGGCTTAGGATCCCTGAGTCCACAAGATCCACCTCACATGCAATGAACTACTTCTTGCTAAACATCCCCAAAATCCCCCAGCACCAACATCGGCTCCTTAACACAACTTCGACCCTAAACCCTAAGCTTCAGGGTTTTAGGATTTGGGTTTCTGGCAGCAGCAACTAAAGTTTCGACTTTTCCAGGACCCTAGGGGATCCAAAGGTTAGTCTTTGGGATTAGGGAGCAGGCTTCAGGGCTTGTGGCGTAAGGGGAATATGGTACGGTTTAGGGTTTAGGGTTNNTTAGGGTTGAGGGTTTAGGGTCTACTACGAATTGAAAGCACAATCGACCTCAACAGCTTTGTGCTCAATCTGTGCTGGCCGCACGCCTGTAAGTAGGTTTAGACATGGACAACTTTATTTTGCAACTGTGCTTGTGGTTTGCTTATACCCTATTGCCTATCACCCCCAACTACTGTACTTTCCAACCCTACCGTACTTGCTACGTCCCCCGACAGTTCAAGTACTTCAGGGTTTCTTGTTTCCGGCCTTCGGCACACCCTTGATGAAGCTCTCCTGGGCGATGGGAAACATATAAATACATAACTAAATAAATCAATAAATAAATATACATATATATATA